GTGACATCGGATACGTCCACCTCCTTCACCTTGGGTGGGCCTGGGTACAAGGCTCTTCTGACTGCCCCCTATCAATACGGATTTCTCTGGGGGTACTTCCCTGTTCTTCTTCACGCTTGAGGGGGAAGGGCTCATTGACAAACTGCTTAGAAATCCCTGGTATCAACTTTTTGGAATAAATTACGTAATAAAATATCACTGCCACCACATTTATTAAGTGCTTGCCAGGCACTGTGCTAAAGTTTTACATTATTTTAGTTAATCCTACAACCATGAGGTAGATATTTTCAAATCCCCCCCCCCAATATCATTATAGTTGAGGAAACTGAGGTTCAGAGAGATTAATACATCAACCAAGGTCAACCTATTTGCTAAGTAGCAGAGCTGAAAATCTGAACCGAAACCCAACGGGAGCACTACACTAGGCCGCTTCTCACTCAAGTCAAAGGGCACATGCGCCTTCCCACAACAGTTCCTGAAGGCCAGGTTTCGGGTGAAGGCAGGGCCTTTTAAAAACCTTTCCTGATCAGCTATCACACTCAAATGGAAGAGTCGTCTGAGTATAAAGCTGACCACAGGGTTCTTCTGGGAGAGCAGGCTGGGGGCATCCTCATCTAGATCTCCACCCGACAGCTGACAACTCTAAACAGGCAGTTTCCCTTCCAGCAACCAGTGGAATTCAGTGACCTGGAGCACTGCCAGATACCTGAGAGGAATCAGGGAAGTCACAAAGTGCCCATGGCACTGCTGAACTCTAATGAACAGGTGCCTTCGGATGGACACACACTCCAGCGTCCACATGGCTCGTCGGCCCAGGTGCCAGTCCCCATTTCTCCACTGCCCACCACTCCTAGCTTCTGTCTCGCCCACCTCTGGAGGCCTCGCAGGTCACAGGCAGGCCTCTGTGTTAGCATCCAAGGCTTTGTCCTCCAGAAATACAATCAAAGGTCTCAGCGAGGCTCCGGCGAAAATCTCAAGAATTGTGAGGATGAAACAGGGCTGGCTGAAGATGAGCAAAAGAATGGGAACTAGAAAAGGGAAACAAGAGTGTACATAACCTACAAAGGGATGGCAAGAGAACAGAACCAATAGAACACAAACCAATGGGCTAGTAACCCTAAGGAACTCCTGGAGTCAGACAAGGGCTCTAAGATGAAGGATGCCTGCAGGGAGCAGAATGTCTGCACAAGCCTGTGTGCTGAGGACAGAACCGACGATAATGAACCTTGGTGAAGGGGCTGCTGGAGACTGGTCTGCGAGTGAAACACCTCTGGAACCGGCACCAGAGTGACAGGTACCAAGGCCAAGCAGTAGCAGCTCCCAGAGAGGGGCTGACGGGCTACAAGGCCAGTGCCTTTGGAGCCCCGGGAGCCACTTGCAGGTGCCTCAGCAGTTCCCTCTATTCGGGCAAAAACAGCCCCTGAAAGCCAGGCACTGCAGCTCTTCTAAGCTCTGCAGTGAATTCAGTGAGTGGGAGAACAAGAGGTAGGGAAATTAACATGTGCACACACAGCCCCACCTGTGGGGAGCTCATACTAGAGAGGAAACAAATCCAAGGGGACTTAGGCTTTAAGAACCTGCCACATATGAGCCACAGTCTGAGGAAGTACCAACTGGTGCAATTAGCATTAACCTTTAAGTTTCAAGAGGACAGGGAAGTTCTAAGTTGGGGCTCGCCATATCTTGGGACCCAACCTGTTAATGTCACCACCTGCTCGCACATCTGGGCAGGTGCCTCTGTAGCTCCATTTAACTACGGCTACATTGGTCAGGGGCTGGGGGGGTGGGGGGGGCAGGAATCGATGATACCAAGGCCCGGAGTTTGGGAGCCCAGAAGCTCTGCTCTCCGGATGTTCTTCCTCTAGGACTCTAGTCCTGTCCACACAGGGCACGCGATGACATAAGGCTCTGAAGCTCCACTTGTTTCATATGCTCTTCTCTACCGAGACCATGTTTTCTCCACACGCTGCAGCTTTAGAATGCAACAAACCTTTGTTATAGGTGGTGTACCTGGAGTGACAACTCTCACATTTCCACAAACATGTCAAACTACTCCACTGTTTTTCTTGTAGGCGTATGACGCCATCCCTCCCTTTTGTTGGCTTTGAATGTGGTGGGGGGGCTGGGCCCACCTAATTTTTGTTAAGAGATACTCAAGTTGGCCTGCTGGTAAGAACACTAAGGTTTGTGGCCTGAGTCTCTAGGGACAGGAGGCTTTGCCCATGCGGGGCTGGCCCACTGGTAAGGATCCTTCCCCTCTCTTGTCTCCTAACAGATTCAGATTAATGATAGCTCATTCCTAATTGTCAAATTTCTTTTCCTTCATCCTGTGTCTAATCACCAGTGACAGAAACCATTACGCAAATGAGAGCAGACGACTTCCCCCAACTGTTCACGTTGGTAAAAACCTTGTAATTTAGAGCTCTGATTTGTAGGGGAAGCTGGTCTCCCCCAGGCATCCTGGGCATCTGCTCAACTGATGCCCAGAACAGCCCCTCCTCCATCCCCCGAACTCCAACCCCCCAACAAATATTTGACTTCACTAGTTTTCTCCATACTTGCTCATGTAAAAATGGGAACTTACAAGATAGTTCATACAGGCCCAAATCTCTACCTTCCCTTGGTGTTCTGCTTCCAAGTTACCAGCTGACAGGGGAAGCAACGGAGCAGAAATGCTTCCCCTGTTGCAAGCAGAATTTAAGTCTGAACAGCCCTAACCTGTAAGAGTGAACAAGCAGTCTGCAGAACACAAGTCAAAGTTCTTAGGATTATCTCAGAACTAGGTATTTCCACAAAAGCAAAAGCACACTGGCAAAAGGTAGGGATCGCTCTACTCAAGGACACGACACGTGGCATCTAGAACTGTTTCTCCAAAGCTGCTTCCTGTCCTCTTATCTTGTAATAGGGCTTCAGGGGTTTCCCAAGGTGTTTTTAGTTGGATCCCGGCCTTGCTTTCATCCCAAGCCTTCTGCCCTGTTGGGCTAAGTCTGCCTTCACTAGACACTGCCCAGTGAGTCAAAAATGGAGGTGGGCCTGTGAACAGGGGCACGGTAGGAAAACCATCATTCAGTGGAAGAGGAACAGCAAAGGGTGTTAGACAACAGCAGCAGGTACAAATCCCGATTGCCACTAGTCACTGAACCTCTTTGAGCCTGTTTCCTCAGCTGTAATGAGATTACCTACCTTGCAGGACAGTGACCAGCAAGATAGCACTAGGTGCACACCAGGGGTCTAATAGTCAGTGGTCACTATCCTATTTCTCAAGGACCCTAGCAAGTTCCCTCGCCCTAGATCAACTCAGATCAGACCTTGTCAGCACAGAACCTGACAAGGGCCAGCTGGGGGTCGCATACCTCCATGCCACCTCACGCTCCCATCTGGGAGGGCTGAGTCAGGAACATGGCAGAACAGCTGAGAATGGAAATAATCTGCCATCTTTCAAAGTGTGACAGTGGTCAAGGTTACCGGTCTGCTTTGTTTTCTTAGCTGTCTCCTCTTTCCCAAAACAGATGGAGGGACGGAGATGGTGGCAGTCGCGTTTTCCAGCACTGGCTATATTTGAAAGAACTACAGAGAGGTACCATGCTTGCACACCCACACAGCATCAGAATGCCCTGAATGGGGCACTCAAAATAAACAGCCTCCCCCAAATCCATACACAAGCGCGTACACACACCCTCTCTGCCAGTGCACTGTGACTAAGCTGAGATGCGGCAGTGAGTGCCAGAGCTCAGATACCCGAAGTCAACCTTTGGCAAAAAAAAGAAAACCAGAGAATCCAGCTCCTCTTTTCTCGCAGAGAGGAGCGTGGAGATGGGAGTGGAAGTGAGAAGACAGGCCATCGCTGCCTATCCCCAGGAGCCCCTCCACAGAGCATGTGAACGGCGGCCCTTGGAGCGCAGTGCCTAGCTGCCCGCTGTGAGCCGCAGCCCTGAGGGGTTCACATGAGTAGCCATGACCAGAAAAGGAAATTCCACCTCTGTGCTCCATCAGTTGCCCCGACTTTTGAGGTGTGCGTGGACCGTTGTAGTGGGGTCCAGCAAAGGTGCTGGCTCCATGAGGCCTTGCCCTGAGGTGGACGACAGGTGACTAGTTAGCCACCTTGGCTGACCCATTTCATCCAGTCAGCCAGAAACTCCACAGGAGCAGAGGATATGGCCTAGGTGGAGTGGTCACAGGGCCTGGCCAGTCAGCCCTCAGGCAGTTCGCAGAGAGAACCAACACACATACAATGGCTACAACCGAGCACAAAAGCTTCAGGCCAGGTCAGGCAGTACTTCCTGGGGGCTCCCTCTGGACAAAGTTAAACCGTGGAGAAACTTGGTGAGCAGGTCGGTGTGTACACGTGTGCATGTACACACACACACACACACAGTGTACACACATGCGCGTACACACACACACACACACACACACACACACACTCTGAGGCTTGTACCCTAGAACCTAGAGAAGCCGCTGCTAGAAGAACTCCCTTGATGCCCAACACAAGGAGCAAGAGCTGGTGCTGAAAAGAAAAAAGCTGCTTGTAGCGTAATCTGGAACTTCTGCACAATCCCTGGTTCTTGTGTCCCAAGGGTCTTTTCTATGTATGGCTTGAGCTTGAAGGTCCAAGTTGGAACCCGTCTAACAATCCTTGCACAGGAAGGCTACCCAGGTTCTCAGAGGCAAGCCTCCCTCTGGCTCTCCCAGAGTCCCAGGAGCCATTCCCATCCAGGCTAGAGGCTGACGCTTCAGAAGCTGGCAAGAGGCAGGCTGACTGAGCGCCAGGACAGCTCTGGCCCTGCAGAGCAGACCAAGTGGGTGTCTAGGAGCATCTCCTCTCTCAGGCTGAGGCACTGAGGCTGCAGGACACAGGGCTGAGAGCCAGAAGCGGCATCCTGACCCAGAAGGGGGAGCAAAAATCAGACACATATGTGTGCGTGCGTCTACACATACGCACGCACACCCCGAGGTTGACAGACTGACACACACACATGACGACAACCAGAAGCTGGGACTCCACACACTGAATGCAGGACTTTAGGGGGGGCACAGAGGGAAGGTGCTGGGCACAGAGCCAAGGTAAGAAGCGCCTCCAAATAGGACTGGAGTAGCAACCACCCTGCCTTGCCCCAAACACCTGCCTCCAGGGCCATGGCAAGAGTCCAGTCCATTAAGTGCAGCGTGCAATACTAGCGCTTGGAGTCTCCTGTCCTCATCAATGAAGCGGTGGACGGGCTAGCAGTCACCTGGCAGGAGGCCTCAACTCCTGGCAGGCTAGTTGTATCGGCCCTTGATCATTGTGTTCAACAAGGGCCCCACCTGTGAAGAGACAGGAGGAGCCAGTCAGAACTGCCTATTCCAGCTCCCGGGCCAGAGAGGGTGTCCAGCCAAGGACAGGGACATTCAATGATGGAAGCCCTCTAACTACACTCTTCCTGGAGGTCCACCCAGCAGTCTGGGGCATGGCCCTCTTCGCTGGGCCCACCCTGGATTACCCTCCTTGTCACACCTTATATCTACAAGCCTGCACTGAGGAGCTTACAACCCCGAACACCCAAGAGTGCCTGCATGTTCCTCAGCAATGTCTTAGGAATGTGAAATGCCTCTATATCTAGGAAAGGTCACTACAACCACCAAATGGTGCCACCCTCAACCTCATATGTCCTCTGGATGTGAGGTTACCCACCGGGAGGAGGTGAAAGCATTTCAAATACAAACCTCCCTCTTACCAATGGGCCACTGGCACACCTGTGTGAGGACGCAGATCTCACCACTACCTAGAACAGCCTTGGCACAGCTGGGAGAATGTGAGGAGATACTTTGCTGCTCACTTCCCGTTCCAGAAGAATCCCCTCAGGGGTCCCCAGCTGGCACTCAAGCCCCATAGGGAACATTACCACTAGCACGGAACAGATTATAATTGATCCGCCAGTCAAGCCCAGCTTCCACCAGAAAACAAAGATTTTCTGAACATGCCCATAACCTCTACGGAGAAAAAGGACACAAGATAACAAAACAGAGGCGCTATGGATAACGTGATGCCACCTTGCCTTTCCTGGTCTTTCTACCCAAGGGGTCACAGGAGTACCACTGGGGGCAGCCACATACCTCTTGTGGGTTCCCCAAGGCCTCTCCAAGCATCTTCTCAATGTTTCTCATTATGGCCACTTTCTGATGGGCTTTGAGGGGATATTCAATTCTCTTAGGGGTGGGGGCTCCCTGCAAAGGAAGGAGCAGCTCAGGCTTCACTGTCACCCACTGTTCCCAGCACTATCCAAATCCAAGCCCTTCCTCTTTATCTCCTCCAAGACCTGGGAATCACTTCCAGAGACAGCCAACATCCTCACCCCACCTAAATGACAGAGCACAACTACCTTACCCCACACCCCTCTACCAAAACCCCATATTCACCTTATACCAGAAGTTCACAGTGATGGTAATCCCCCCATCTAGCAATGACTCTATGTGATGCCACCTGCAAGAAAATAAATAGGCTCCTGTTTGCCACCAATACTTTTCAGAGGGAGGGAAGGAAAACTAGAGTCCACTAAGGGAAGTAAGGAAAACTGTATCTTTAAACTCATCCCAGCAAACACACTCGGGCTAGAGACCATGGTATTCTGTCCCCAAATCCAAAGAGCCAAGAACAGTTTCTCCAGCCTCAAGTCTCTGGGACCACTTTGGACTTGAGGAGTGTCATCCTGTTCCCGATAGGGCTGTCACTTCCCCATGTCCAGTATGCTTCCCTCTGATATACCAAGCCTCTTGTAGATCACGGAGACCAATCCTGACCTCGGGAGAGACACAAACGTGGCTTTCCTGGGAATTGGAAGAAAGCTCCCAAGAAGCCCCCAGTGCTAGCCCCTCCTCACCAGTACATTGGGATATAAAGAACATCACCAGGGCCAACCACTGTTTCATAACCAACGACGTTCTGGAAATTGGGGAATCTTTCGTAGTCAGGATTGTCAAAGTCCACCTGAGAGGTTCAAGAGAAAAAAAAATTAGTCATCATCAAATCTTTATGAAAAATTACAACGTGTTAGTCACACCGATAGTCAAAAAGACGCCTGCAAACCAACAAAGTGTCTTTACAATTTATATCCAGCAAAGGACAAAACATACATTGAATGTAAGTCTCTTCCCCAGAGAATGTTGTAAGACTGGCCATGCTTAAATGGTGTTGGAAGAATCCTGCACCTCAGTGCTTAAGGTCAGAAGTCCAGCAACATGGCTTGAGTGACCAGCAGGTATGAGGTACCAGGATCCAAACCTGCAGAAACTTCCTTCCAAACATCTTCCTTTCCAACCAGCAAAGATGCCCACATAAAGTGGCCAGACAGACTCCTCCACGAGAAACAAGATGATCTCTGGCCACAAAGGCAAGCATATGCCTTACTTAGATCCCAGGAAAGGCATGAAATGGCTATTTCAATTCTACCTGTCCTTTCTCTTCATCAAAGAGAAGTGGTATCCATGACAATGAACACATCTTGCTCCCTGAACTTGCAAGCCAATTAACCAGAGTCCACTAGCATCAATGATGGGTCTGCCTTCCAAGAACTGGCACAGCAGGGCTATTTGTATATATATAAACATCTGGGGACCGCCACAGGGGGCTGGAATGTATGAGTGACATGTGGAATTACCATCTGAGCTTGCCTTAAGCTGGCACACCGCTGTGGGGAGGGGGGAGACATGGCAGCCTTGGGTTCCAAAGACACTCGACACCCTCCTCAGAACACACAAGCTCACCTGACTTTGTCTGTCACATGGATGATGAACAGGATATGGATAGAGGCACTCAAACTGGTCCGGAGGGAATAAGATACATCGCTTGTAGCCTTTTATCTGAGCAAAGAAGTTCTGCTGCTCATCATAGTGAGCAGGTGTCACATTTCCTGTAAGAAGAAAACCATTTTCTTATCCCAAGGAATGGGTGGAAACACAGGGCCCAGTGCTGGGGAGAAACCCAGCCTGCCCTTTCAGCTAAGGGTTCCAAATCAAAGCCTGAGGCAGAACAAGAAAGACGGCAATTAATGATTCTCAGAAAATCAGGTGTTATACTTTTAATGGGTAATCTAGCAGCCGTTGGCTATGGGTTTACCATCAATTAGCATAGTAAACAGTTTTTTTAAAATAAATTTTCACTGAAGTCGTAATGGTTTATAATAGCATAACTTGACACCTGTATATACCACACTATGATCACCACCAAAAGTCTAGTTTCCATCCACCACCATAGTTGACCACCTTTACATGATTCACCTACGCCTTTCTCCCTAAGTAACCACCACTGTGTTCTTATAATCTAAGAGTTTTCTTCTGCACAAAGCACATTTTCTTAACTGATGTCTCCTGCCATTTCTAGAAGCAAGGGCACATCAAAATGACAGCTATAGGTCTGGCCCACGAGTACACTGGGTAGACCTGTGCTTTCCCTGACCACAGCAACAACTAAGGGCAGCAAACGAGTCAACTGCAATGACTGGTATCGACCATGTGTGCACGGTCTTTCCATTGCTGGAGTTTACCAGTCATTTAAGCTGTAGGACTATGAATTTGCTTTGGGTGGATCTTTTGTAGCAGAAATTCTCAACTTTTACTTCATCATCAACACACCTGCAGAATGCAAATTTCTTAGGACAATGGGGCTACTGAGTCTCATCAGGGAAACCATTACCTGATTCCTTAACAGTAAGGCAAATGATTTTAAATGCTGACTTACAGTATGGCTGAGTTATGTGTTCTCCAAATACTCTCTGTAACTGACACCATGTCTATTGTTTATCTGTTGCTTCCCTGAGCGCTGAAGGACCCTCAGCAGGGCGTAGTTTAGAAACATTCCCTGTGTCGGCCTGGGTGGACCAAAGCAGCTGCCCTCCTCCGTGCAGAGACCCATGCTCCCTCGCAGAGGTGTGCTTCTCCTCTGCACTCTACCACAGGGCAGAAGACAACAGGAAATCCAGTCAAGTAAACCAGAACTGACTGCTACCAGATCAACAAAGAGTGGGTTTCAGCGGTGAGTTAAGGATCAATTCACTGCTATATTACTAGAAACCTTTATTAATACTGAGTCTGAATCTGGGGGGAAAAAAAGGGGGGGGGGAATGAAAGGGGGAGAATAGACTTCAGAGCCCAGTGGTGAATGACAATGAGTAATTACTCTCCTCTTTGTTCAATCCAACCCAATTTATTCACCATCTACTAAGTATTTTACTCTGGGTCCAGTAGTGTGCTAGTGCTGGAAACAAAAATAAGAATGTAACAATGACCAAGAGCTGTAGGAGCTCTCTTTCTGACTGGCATTTAAAGAGTTCGCCTTTTATTTTTATTAAAAGAAAAAAAAAAAATCCCAAAGAACATATTCACCCTATCTGCTTGTGTATGTACAAAATCCTATAGCAGTTAAGTCATAACTAGTAACCTTCTTTCCAAGGAGGAAACTAGTAACTAGTAACCTTCTTTCCAAGGAGGAAAACTGTAAGACTGAGAAATTAAAGCAGAATACAGATTTAGCACTACATACTTAGTTATGCCTCTTGAATAACCCTATGTTATCTATTCAAAAGACACGGTTAAAATCATAATAGAAAAATAAGCTTCCTGCTTCAGACAAAAATTGTCTGAGCAGGCATATGCAACAGAGAACAGCAGTACTGCAGAGATCCCCAGGACCTTAGTACATGCACTCACACAACAGCTGAAGAAAGGAAAGGGAACTCACTTCCTTTTAGTGTTTGTGAAACTAACTTTAAGCTTTAACATACATTACTTAATTTACTATTCAGAGTTATTTATAAAATGCCACCTTCCTTTTATAAGTGAGGAAGTTGAAGCTTAAGAGAGTTAAGTGACCTGTTCTAAGTCACGGAGCAGATAAATGGTGGAGACAGGATAAGAATTGGGTTTTACGACCCCCAAGCCATGCTGCTTTCTGCTTACCTTCCATGCCGATAAGCAGCAGGTTGGAGGTCAGCTGCCCCCAGCCACGTTTTCCCTGTTGCTTATTAATCCAGTTCCAGTTAAAACCCAAGAAGTCCATGACAATCTTCCTGCCCACAGTGTCATTGAGTGTTTGCTGTAGATATAACCTATGCTCCCCAAGAAGAAAATCTCATTAGTGCACGTATACATATTCCCTGGGCAGGGTCTCCCCACACCTGGAATCCAAACCCAGACCACGCTAATATCTTCCACAGGAGATGCTGCCAGGCAAATCTTAACCAACACAGATTCACACAGAACTAAACCCTTACCCATCATCCTTTGAACTTTGTTCAACACCAACCTTTTAAAAGAAGTGATTCTTAACTTCTTCTGGGTCACAATATTTATCCTTTAAGAATCCAAGGATACTGCTGCACAAAAATTCTCAATCTTTCTCTCACACACACACACACTTAAGTCTCATACGAATTTTATGTTCCTTAAAACCTACCCAAAGATCCTACAACAATGAAAAGCAACCTTGTTCAGAGACTTGCAAAGTCTAAAACAGGCCCCCTGACCCTTGAGGGACCCTGAAGCAGTGTTATATCCACCAAGAGCTAGTTCCCTTCTTGTGGGAGTTATTCTTTTATATCACCTTGAAGCCAAGCTTGCTTCTTTAACTTCCTTCACTAATGGAATGTAACAAAAGGACCCATTATACTTCCAGGCTCTGACAGGACCACAGGAGACATTGCCACACTTCCTTCCCTCCACCACCGCAACTGCAGTTTCAGCCAGTGGCCTCAAGGGCGATCTGGGTCCCAAAGTGGAAAAGATGCGAGAGCACAGCCCCAAGGTGGCAGGTAACAAGGGGGAGAAACAAAACTCTGCCACTTTAAGTTGCTGAGCTGTGGCTTAGGAGTTGGAGACCCCAGACATACTTGATCATGCCTCCCAAGAAACATTACTAAGAGGGCAAACCTTAAGAGAAGACACAAGAACAGCCTTGAGAACACAACAAAACGTTCAAAAGTACTTAGTGCTTACAACCCTGATGTTTATGACATTAACTAGAAATCTTGTTAATATGGACACATTAGCTACTTTTTTTGGAGACATGGAACCCCAAGACTTGATGCAACATCTGAACTCTCCCCAGAGACTATGCTATATACCTAACAATTTCACTAGTAAAACTGAAAGTCAGGAACATTCTTCAAACATGACTCCAAACAATTCCTATTAAGCCTCAACACATAAATGCTCAAAATAGCACAAAAAGGGTGCTACTCTGAGGAACTGGCAGTCATGTGTCTTGTCACACATACGCAGTCACTGTGATTACACTCCTTCAGCACCCTTTAATCTCTCATAGTGGGGTACCTGGGTGTCTGCTTTGTTAAATGTGAGCAAACTGATGCATGAGATGGCATAAGTGATCCAGTATTTAAGACATAAAAATCAGATGACTGATAAATGAGATAGTTCTTTTGATCAAATTCCAACAATTGTAAATGCTAAGTGTCAGGAAAAGAAATTATTTTCAATCACTTCAAACACAAACCTCTACCAAGGAGTCAGGAAGAGAACTGAGACAGAAGACTAGTGAGAAGCCCAGGGGTGGACACCAAATGTGAGATGGAGATCTTCATTCACTATGAGGTGATCAGAGAAAGCAACGCCCCTATCAATGCTATCACCGGGGACTCAGCTACCTAAGAGACTATCTGCATGAACAGGGATAAAAGCAGAGAGAGGACGTCTCACTTCTCTGTGTCCTGTGCCTGCCATCATCAGTAAAATGTGGAAGAGCAGTGTTCTCCGACCCATTCTAATCGGATCTTCCCTAAGAAATCCTTGATATCCTTCACCCCAGAATGGCAGCAAGTTTTGTAATTTTCCAGCTCGAACTATGCTAGCTTGACTAGTATGTTAGGGCATTTACAAAAATTTATCCTTAGCCACCCATATTTAGAAGTGAAAAAGAAGTTAAATAAAAGTTGTCATTTCCTACTTCTCTTGAAAAAAGAACACCAGGCTGCGAGACTACACCCCCAAACAGAAATGAGAGTCAGGGAATGATTTATTCTGAGGATGCGTTTGCCTTCAGCTTCATCACAGTTTTCAACCAAACAACTCCACTCATGTTGTTCACCTACCTGAGCCTCCCTGGCAAACACGACTCCCACTTTAGAAAGTACCAGAGAGTGGCAGTTCAGGTCTCCTCATCCCCAACTTCCTTGAACTAGAGAATTCACATAACTCCTCTCTCTTTTCAGGCAGTAAGGGGAAGGAAAATGGATGCCCTAGACCCAACAGAAAATCAGAGTATGGGAACTTACCTCTCCTCCCCTCCTCGCTGCTGAATATCCTGTAGCTTCTCAACAAACTCATGAAATTTCATTTCTTCCCTGTTGGACCTTGGCTTAAAGTTTTGGAAATTAGCCATCTTCTTCTCATCATAGTACAAGAACTTGTGGGTGCTAGCACTGTACACAGAGAAGTCTCCATTACCAATGTTCTCTTGCAGGTAATCAAGGTCCCATTTCAGGGCGGGATACACAAGATTTGTGTCGGTCAGCACCACAGGCTCCTAGACGAAAACAGCAGGTGAAAAAATTGAATGAGGTCGTGCCAAGGAGCAGGTGGGTTTCTGAGCCCGGATCCCAACTACTTCCCAACTTCAGAGGAATTCCTCCCAAGGACCGGCAGTCCCATTTCCCCACGCCTCCCTCTCCATCCCCGCTTCAGCCTTGGTCGCACCAGTTAGTACCCCACCTCCATCTCCGCTCGCCTTTGACCTCCCCTCTCCCCCAGCTCCCTTCTCTTCCCTCCCCTCCTCCCCGTTCGGACGTGCCCCGCCCCCTACCTCATTCTCGATGAGCTCCTCTGCCCGGGGGTCGCTCTGGCTTAGACGCGGGATGGGTCTGGTCGGGAAGCTATAACTGCGTAACTGGGACTCATCCCAGGCGGGCCCGGGGGCTTCAGCTTCTCCCCGAGGTTCTCTAGAGTCCGAGGCCGCTGCCTCGGCCGCAGTCGCCGCCATCTCTGTCTCCAGGGACGGCCCCACCGGAACCGGAAGCCCCGCCCAACTGGCTCAGAAACCACAGCGGAAACCATAGAGATGGGGTTCGAGAGGGAGAGGTGCACGGACACTAAGAACGCGGAGCGGAGGTCTGGGGGAGCTCCCCCTAACGGTGACCCGTAGCTGTGCACCCTAGGCTCGGACCCTAAAGACCGGAGTGATGCTCAAGGTATGTAAATATCAGAACAGACAAATCTGCAGAAAGAAAGTAGATTAATTACCTGAGGGTAGGTAACTAATCATAGCGAGGAGCTATGATAGTGGGTATGGGGTTTCTTTTGGGGGTGCTGACAATAATTTACAATTAGTGGTGGTAGCTACACAACTTTGTAAATATACTAAAAATCACTGTTGTATATGTTATAGTGGTGGGTTTTATGGTATGTGAATTATAGCTTAATAATTAACTAATTAAAACAGCTTTGTTTCTTGACCCAAATAAGGTCAGGATTTACTATTGATTGAATGTAGATACTATGCAGTTGTTCCAAGCACTAGCCAAGTGATGCTTATTATATGAGGCCAAGTTGCCGGGAATGAACTCCTCCAAATTTATTTACCAAATAGCATATATCTATTTTTATTGCTTTCATATATATTTGAGGATGTTTATGATCATGGATGCTGCTCCACAACAATGATCACCCTAAAAGTTGCAGGAAGTATGTACATATTTATTCCACATATGCCATTTATGTAAACAAAGTGAAAAATGTGCAAACACAGTAATGTCCTTCATTCTTTGGTTAAGTTACCGTTTGTTAATTGTGGTCCAGCTTGAAATCTATTTATCCAAGTCCAAGCAAATCTGAGGCTTCATGCATTGTTTTCTGAGAGCCACCTCTGGTGCTAGGATTGATTTTACATTTGGTGGTTTCAGGTGACTGGGGGATTCAAATGTAAACACGGAATGAAACTGAGGCGCCTGGAGGACCATTTGGGTTATCACTTTACATCCAAGACCATGACCAGACCCAGCAAGGCCAACAGCTGGATTTGGACAGTGGTCACATTTGGACATGGAACATAAGTGAAAAAGGCAAGCAATCAGAGAGGAGATGAAGACAAATTCATTTTACTTCTATTGCTCCTGGGGGAGGTAGGTCAGCTGTCCACTTGAGATGCTCGCATTCCGAGTCTCTAGGAGTCTAAGTCCCTTTCGGTAGAAAAAGAACAGTCCAATCTGAAATATCAAAGCGCTGGCCTGTCTGGCTTTCTCTCCTCGCTGCTTTTCCTCCCTGCCTCTATCCGTCCGATCTTGTTCCCTTCCGTCCCCCAACTCAGCGTGAGTCCCGCCCTTGATCGAACCCTTCCGACCTTCCTTCGCCACCCGCTCCCCCTCCCGCAGTGTTTGGCCCGGCTCAGCCGCCGTGACCAGGCCTCTGCGCATGTGCGGGGTGAAACGGGAGGAAGGTGAAGATGGCGGCGGCCAGGGCTGGGGTCTTGGGAGTCCGATGTCTCCAAAGGGCAGTCCGGAACGTGGTGCCGTTGGGGGCACGGACAGGTCCGTAAGAACAAGCGAGGTCTCAGTGTGGAAAGGGGACGCCTGATCTTCGGTGTGTCAGGGAGAGGGCCGTGGGTGTCGCGAATCCCGCGGCCGCTGTGTCCGGGCACGGGATGGAGGCGGAAATTCTCGCCGGCCCCGCGAACTCTAGGGCTCCGGCTCCCTCCACCACAGCACTTCAAAGGCTTTGGGGCGTCCAGAGGAACGGGTCGTTGCTGACCTTTTCTTTTCTACGCCCCAGCCTCCCACATTACGAAGGACATGCTCCCAGGGCCTTATCCCAAGACCCCCGAAGAACGGGCCGCCGCCGCCAAGAAATACAATATGCGAGTGGAGGACTACGAGCCCTACCCGGATGATGGCATGGGGTGAGGTAGAGAGGGTCCGCTTGCTCTCGGGTAGTGACGGGAGAAGGCCGGCTGGGTTGGCTGGCTCGACCCTGTTTTCCGAGGACCTTCCTTTGACCCCACAGAAGTCAGTGGTGTGGGTGCTTTTCTCGGTGGAGAAAATTGGGAGGGGGTGGGTGAGCAGCTGCAACCGAGAGGACTTCAATTTTCTCCTTGGCTCAGGCACTTTCCTCAAATGAGAAAGCCGAGGTTTTAATAGCTCCCCGGAGGACCCCTGAATAGCAGGAACCTTCCCTAGCTTCATCCAGAGCCCAAGGTTTCATTTAGATTGAGCATCTGCTGGGCTCAGGTGCTGTCATCCAGGCACGTGACCGGGCTGGAGCTGGACTCCTGACATGAGAACCTTATTTATAGATGAAGTGCCCAACATTTGTGTTTATTTCTTTCAAAGAATAATGTCTTTGCTCTTAGGGCTGTGGAAATGGTAGCCACTGTTAAGCAGATTAAATGACCAGCTCCCTTATTCCAGCTGATGTTATATTCTCCTCCCACCTCCCACATAACATCCCTATGTTTAATTATCTGAAGCCATTACCCTCACCCTCATTTCCCCTCCTAGCATCACTCTTTTAGTCATGATTTCAGCAGCTCCTATATTTCTTGTTTTCCACTTATTCTGTATGACATATGTCTAGTTGTCATCATTTCCCATCTTTTCTTGTGCACAAGAGCACCTTGGATTGGGGTGTATTGGGCAAAACCCAGTTTAGTAAGAAGTCCCAGAAGGTGCTTGAGACATGGAGGTGGTGGAGTAACACAGGTGCTATGAAAAGAATACTTTTCTAATCTGCCTCCCCCCCCCCATTTTTTAATTCCAATTAGCTGGGTGACTTTGGGTTCAGACTAAACTTTGGTTTCATTTTTTTGTCTAATGAGGGAATCAAAGTGATGAATTGCTAAATTCTCTTCCAGTTTGAACATTATAACATAGTGGTTTTTTTTTTTCTTTCTTGAAGAAGTTAAGATAATTGTATGTATGTTATAATATTTCAGAATTTGACCTGGACTTGTAATTACAGTTTGGATCGCTGTGATTAGCTCTATGTTTAGAGACTAGAAATTAAGATTTTGTCTGAAAAATCAATTCCTTTGTCTTTGAGGCAGGCAGTTATCTATCACTTAATTTCTCATCTAGACGAGGACACTCTGAATTTTCTGAGTGAGGCTTCTCAAAGCCCCTTCTAGCAGTTCTTGCTGTCTCTCAGGTATGGCGATTACCCGAAGCTCCCTGATCACTCACAGCATGAGAGGGACCCCTGGTATGAGTGGGACCATCCAGAACTGAGGTTGAACTGGGGTGAACCGGTAAGAGAACCATATTCCATCTGACCTTCTTTCTTTAATGTCTTCTTGGGGGTTCTGTTTAGTTTAAATGGTACTTTTTCAAGTAACATAGTTTTCTGCCCAAGGAAACAAGGTCCAGTGATCTGAGAGATCTGGGGTTCCACATGTGACATATGAAATGGGACTTCTGAGAATACTAAAAACTCTGTATTATGAAAGTTGTGGACTTCCATGCTGTATGAGCAGTCTGATCAGCAAAGTACACACAGTATACAAAGTATATATAAGCCAAGTTCTAGTCCTGTGGACGAGAGTATCTCAGACTGACCTCTCAGAACACTGCTTGAGCCAGAATGCCTTTGTCAAGCTTTGTCACAGACTCTGGTACAAAAACTGGACTGCCTACCTTTTACAGGAAGAGCAATTGGTGACAATTATCTGCCTTTCTGCCTCAGATGCACTGGGACCTAGACATGTATATCAGAAACCGTGTTGACACGTCCCCCACGCCTCTTTCTTGGAATGTCATGTGTAAGCACCTCTTCGGCTTCGTGGCCTTCATGCTGTTCATGTTTTGGGTGGGTGACACTTACCCCTCCTACCAGCCTGTGGTGAGTATCCGAGAAACGCTCCCTGAAGCACATTTACTTAGCCCTGTTTTCCGAGGGAATGGAGTCTCCTGGGCTGGGGCCCAGCCAGCCAGTACCAAGCTGGGCTTTCCTGGCAAGCCAGCAGAGGGCTTTACTCATAAGCTTGACATAAGTATACCAGAGCACTGGTCCATGACTACATCTTGGATTAGTCTGAGTGAGAAGCAGCAATTTAGGACTAACTGAGGAATGAGAATATGGAAGCCAGCTAGTCTCTAGAATTACCACTGGGAACTGTACTTACCAATTGAATTTCAGCAAAAAGTTTTTCAAGGTAGAATCAAGGAGTTTGGTACTGAAATTTATCCTTTTTGGAAATGGAAGGGACATTTTCTGTAGGGTACTAGAAACAGATGTTTACTACAGTTCTATTTTGTTATATTTGCTAGTTGTATTTTGGAATGTAAAGGATATAGAAAATATTCTTTTTCACTTCAAAGAAGTTTAATTTGGCAAGGAAGAAATTTTAGATGACATGCTCAGTAACATGGGAACTTGCCACAGTTGTTATGTATATATGTGTATTCTGAATATATGTGCTAAGGAGTGTGAAATGCTGTTAAGGAAAAGGGCTACGAGAGATGTGTGTGTGTGTGTGTGTGTGTGTGTTTGCGTGTTTGGATGGTGGGAGAAATTGGAACAAACATCAGAACATTTAGGGCAAGAAAAATAATGCGGTAGAGAGTGAGTTAGCTGGAGTGGAACAGACATAAATTAGTTCCTAGATAACCAGCAGCATTGGTTAACCTGAAGAACCCCTAAAATGTCAGATTCCGATACCCCACTTCCTGTATTGCTTTAATTCAGTAGCCCCTTGATGGGTTCTAAAGTCTGTATTTTTAAGCAAATGCCTAGGTTGTTCTGGAAATCAGGTATGGAAATGATATGTTAAAAAACACTGTGAGGCTAGTTGATCTTTAAATTGAGCAGCTTGCATTGCATGCCTAAGGAATATGATGACATAGTAGACTATATGGGTGGTTTGGTAATACATTAATTCAGCAAGTATTTAGGAAGCTACTACCGAGTGGCAGATGCAGATAGTGCCAGGGGTTGGGATACAGTGATGACTTCGGTAGTTGCGAGCCATGGTGTGCTTTTGAATCGAAGACTCATCACGAAGTCTAGACTTTCAGGAAGATTTACTGGGAACAGTCTATAGGATAGAGCATAAGGAAAGGAACTGAAAGCAGGGTAGCTATCGTGTTTGCAATTGCCTGCCCAGTGCTACCTCTACAGAGATCATCAGTGTCCCCATGATAGCGGGTATGGCTGTGTGCACTGACACGAGCCTTCCTACCAAGCCCTGGGGCTCAGGCTGCAGAATGCACGGAGGGCTGGTGTGAGCACTAACTTCACTTCAGGAGAGCAAGAAACACAGTGTGGCTCTTCCATTTTTCAGTTCTGTAAGCACATCACCCTTTTCTCCTCCCCTTGAGCTGTGTTCTCTGACAGCTGTTTGTTGGTAAAGCCAGCAGCCCCTAAAGCACGTCCCAGCCGTGTCTCCTCTGTGCTCTCCCCCACCGCTGCTCCTGCACGCCTCATTTGCTAGGCCACTTTAGTGGTGGAACCATTAGAGGCTGAGTGACTTAAAGGAGATTGAGTCTGTCTCGACCCCGAGAGAGAGTGGGATGGATGGATGCATCGTCTCATTTACAAAGGCTGTGTGCACACTCATGCTCTCACGCTTGTTCATCGTTCCCCACCCCAACACACACACACACACACACACACACACACACAGTGTAGATACCGGTTCTCTTACAGTCTAGGCTTTCTCTCTGCCTGGGGCTGAGTGTGGAAGAGGAGTGCTGTTCCTGCCATTCGTCCCAGCTGGGTCTGACCGGAGGCTATCATTGCCCAGCTACTGTTAGTGATTATTGACTCAGAGTGGGGGATAGCCAGGTGTTCGTTGAACGGTGTTGATCCTGCTGACCTGTGTTTTTTCCTAGGGGCCAAAGCAGTATCCTTACAATAATTTGTACCTGGAACGAGGCGGCGATCCCACCAAAGAACCTGAGCCGGTGGTTCACTATGAGATTTGAGGAGACTTCGTGGGCTTTGTGCCCCCTAACTGTCTCCCTCATTCCTAGAGATTTAACCTTAATGAAATCCCTAATAAAACTAGTGCTGCGGTATCTGTGCCTCATTTCCCCAGGAACAGCCACCGCTGTGAGGAATCTCATTCTTGCTTTTTTTCTGCCTGCTGTCTGACTGTCGCACCATCTCTCATCCCCTCACCACATAGGAAGGATGGGAGGATGAAGGGAGTTAAGCACAAGAATACGCTGACTTGTTCAGCTTGCTAGGCGCGCGAAGGCCGTTGATGTTTCCGGTAGTGTGGTAGGTGGTGAGGGTAGCTCCTTTTCCATTTACACACTTGAGGACAAAAAGATACATTCTGAGTCCCCAAGTTGGAGCAAGTGATTGGTTAAAAATAAACTAACATGTTCCAAGTACACTTACAGGTGTTTTTGGATTGGCCTTTGGATAAGGCTGTGATACCACTAATATTATTTCAAAGAATTTCTATTCCTTATTCCAAAGCAATTTCTGAATCCTACCATCTTATAAATTGATAGTAACTACAATTATGAATTAACTGACAGTTCAGTGAGTTTTTCTGAACCTGTAAGGCCAACAAATAGTCTTAGGAGAAAATTATGTCTTTGAAGGTCTATCTCAGTGCGTCTTTTATATATATATATAAGTAATATAGTTTATTTTTACATCATTTTGTGCCTTTTTCCATCTCAGTTGTAATCCCCATGGCCTTCCCATGCATCTGTTTTTAAGTGAGCCAACATACTTTCTTTTCCTTTGAAAACATTTTCTTAAGTTATATTGCCTAAATTTTTTTCTATTAAAAACACACATTCAACAAGATCATTGAAGCAAGTCCATTCAAATTAGACACAGGGTCCATTAGTGGTTGTCTAGCAGTTAAAGATCAGAGAAGGGGGTACTTACCTGAAATGTCACTCTTCGAAGGTCTCCATTCTCTCTCCTCTAGAGCATTTGGTAATCATTTATTTAACATTTGTGTGCCTAATATCACTGGCCCTGGGAATATAAAGTCAAACAAGATAAAATAATTGCCTTCAAGTAGTTAACCCGAAAGGGGAGACTGCCAGTTGTAAAACCAGGTGCAAAGAATTTCTAGAAGATGTGAATTGAGAGTACACTTTAAAAAATCACAGTTTGAAACCGACTATATGCCTTTGGTTCAGATTTCTTTGGGAGCATTTCATCCCTTCATCCCCTAATTTGAGGTGTTGCCTAAGATTTCATGTTCAATCCTGTTTAACTCAGGTCTTACCCACTGTTGTGCCAAGAAGTTCAAGAAATACTTGCGTACCTTATACATAGAGTAGCAGGCACTCCTGAGTTCAAACCTTCCAAGTCCACACAGAAAGCAAATGTAGTTGAAACAATTATTTGGGGGGACGGAAGAGGGGGTTGTGATATCTTGCTCAGCGTCTTTGGAGGTGTATCAGGCAAGAACACAGAATTCATGCATCAAATGAAAGGTTTGAATCAAATAGCTTAGGTCTAAGATATTTAGCTTCCTACAAGTATTTTTTACTTGAAAGTGCTATCATTCTCAATCCACAGTAAAGAATTTTTTTCAGCTCCCCTTCCCTCCTCCCTCTCCCAATTCCTAACTCTGAATAGCACAGCTGCTCTCCTAGTTCCCAGGCTCTGAAGCCATGGTCTTTTTTTTTTTTTAAAGATTTATTTATTTGTGCATACAGAACTGGGGTACAGGCCAGAGGCTCAGGGGCGGTGAGAGGCTTCACCAGAGACAGAGTGGGGAACAGAACAGGCAGATCGACGAAGTGCACTGCTGAGGGGAGCAGCGGGAAGGTCAGGAGAGGTCTGCCACACCATGTGGTCACCTCCGGGGCAGGTGGGAATTGAACTCATGCGGAAGCAGCTTTAGATTCTCAGTGCTGTACTTTAACCCGCTATGAACTCATGCGGAAGCAGCTTTAGATTCTCAGTGCTGTACTTTAACCCGCTATGCCACCAGGGAGGGCCTGAAGCCATGGTCTTTAACTCCTTTATCAGTCAAGAGCCTATCCTTTCCCCTGTATTACCCCAAACTAATCAGCTGGTACCTAGATTCCATTAGTCTCCTAATTTGAATCCCTGCCTCCAACCCTCTCTCCAAGGGGACCCACTGTACTAGTCTCGAAATACCTTTATCTTATTACATCCCTGTCCATAATTTTCAGTAGCTCCCAATTATCTGCAGCGTTGAATTAGTATTCCACAGTGTACGCAGTCCACTCCCCCATGAAATAGCCTCTTCCATTTGCGGCGTGGGAAATGTTATGGAGCCTGTTAGCCAGTTCTGCCTCTTCCTCATTGCTGGAACACCACCTAACATTCAGCAGCTCCAAGGAATCACACCCACCGAGCGGCAACCTTCTAGGAAGCCCCAGGATGCAGTTACGCGCCCTCCGCACACATAGAGCCCTTAATTAGTTCAACCAACATTGTCCGGGCACCTGCTGTTGCTGGGCTGCAGTGCCGTCACTCGCCGCTATTTACAGCCGTGATTGCTTCTTACCATTTCAGCCAAGTGGATTTCACTGAGCTCCTGGAGCTAGGCCCGGGTCTTTGCTTCAATAAGTAGATAATAAATTAGCATTTTTGCTTTTCTGAGACTGCTCACAGAGCCTGGCTTAAGTTGAATAGACCAGGACTTACAGGTAGCAGGCACCGACCGGGCAGCAGAATTGTGCAATGACTGAGCAGGTGAGGGAGGCCTGATAAAAACCCCAGCCCTCTAGGGAACGTCTTCTGTGGGCTGGTGGGGCCGGGGTTCCGCGCCTCGAGCCGTGTGAGCGCAGGTGCCCTGCCAGGACTACTTTTGACCCTCCGCAGCCGCCGTCCACAACAACGCCCCGCTGAGCCCCAAAGCCCTTTGAGAGGACCTGCTCCGCTTCCACGCCTGACCCCTGACCTGGGCTCTCTGCGCAGGTTGGTTTTCCCACCTGTCTGGGGGGCCCCCGGAGATCTGACAGTGCTGGGCTACTCCTTCCGGAGAGGGTGGGGGCGGGGGCGTGGAAGGGTGCGCCACGACTTTCCAGGCGGCGGGCCAAGGTGATCCCTCAGAAGCCTGAGGCGGGGATGGGCACGCCCTG